TGCCCTGCCGGGACGGCGCGGACCCCGGCCCGCCGGCCGCCGAGCTCCTCGGGGAGGTGGACCGCACGGAATTCGAACAGTACCTGCACTTCGTGTGCAAGCCCGAGCTGGGTCTGCCCTACCAGGGCCACGACGCCGGCGTGGGTCTCCCGGACAGCCACGGGGCGCTGTCCTCCGTGGTGTCCGACGCCAGCTCCGCGGTATATTACTGCAACTACCCCGACGTCTGACAGCTCCCGGCCCGCCCCGGCCCGCAGGCCAGAAGCCCAGTGTTACACACTTCCTGGAAAAGCTAAGGACATCCTTCTCCTCCTGTTGTTTCGTTTTGTTTTTAAGTTGCCTTAGCACATAATTTATGGTAATTTATTTTGTCTACCACTTGAACAGTTGGGGGTTGTGTGAGGTTTTGTTTAAAATATATTCAGGGACTTACTCCCCATCGCGTTGTCAAAACCCCTTTTCCAGTTTCAAATCAGCCGGTTCTTCATGTGTCCATTTCTTTACATTTCTTGCTCCGTTTCCTGGAAATTTATTGATCAAAGAAATTGTGTCCTGGGTGTGTTTTTTAAAAACGTATTTTAAAAAATAAAATCTGGAAGTTTGCTCTGTCACTCCAACCTTGCCCTGCGTCACACGAGCCTTTCAGAAACCCATTTTAAGGTCAGTGGTACAATTAGAAGCAGGTAAAGCTAAAGTTTGCATTTTCTCATAATAAAGAACCTACTTGCAAGAAGAAGCTGTAAAAATGAACGTTAAGCTGTGCAAGTTTGATGTAACTGTTTTTTCTATAAAAAGTTCATGGGATGATCCTAACTTTACATACTTAAGTGATCTTGGTCTCCGAAAAGTTAAGTTTTCTAATTCTAGTATATCACCTTAAGCATGGCCTGAGGCGTTTTAATTTTTGTGTTAGCTTTTGTTTTTCTTCATGTACCAGGAATCGAACTCACGACCTTGCACTTGCCAGGCAGGCGCTTTGCCACTGAGCTGAATCCCCAGCCCCTTTCTTGTTCCTAATTCTAGTTAAGTCAACCTTGAGCCCTGCCTCCAGAAACTTGTTATTTCACTTTTTTTTTCAATTCCACCAATCTCCATACCGTCCTCCCACGCAGCTTGCCTTTAATCCTTCCTTTTTTACACTCTAGAAGTGCGGAGCGGGTGAGTTAATAAAGGGAGTCACGGGAACACAACAGTTTGCATTGTAACTTCTAATGAACTTTAGCGTCTAATTTCAGTAGCTTATTTTGCTGAGTATTAGTGGATGATGGGATTTCCTGGCACCTGAGGTTCCTAAACTTGCGGGAGAATCTGCCTGAGTTTCGTGTAGTACGCTTTACAGATGTGACTGAAACTACAGCCCCAGCAAGATCACGGGCACGCCTTGTCAGGACGCTCTGCGTGGCGGGGCTGTAAGTACAGCAGTCCCTGCGATCTGCAGTGCTAATGCGGTGGCATTTTTCACACACTTACAGATTGAGACGTAAGTGGGAACGGATGGCTTGTATTGGGTATTTCCTGTGCCAGGTGTTTCCTCGGTGCCATTCTGTACAGGTTGAGCCCCAACAGCCCCAAGCCTACAAGCTCCTGTGCTGCTCGTCCCGTGTTACAGGTGATAGGAGACAACCGACCCTTCCAGTCCTGTTACACGCGGAAGGTCGGGGCGGTGCAAACTCTCGTCTTCCCCCTAGGTGTTGACATCTGCGACTGAACCTAGGGCCTCAGGACAGCTGCTGAGTGGCTGAAACACACCCCTAAGCTCCCCACAGCTTCCCGACATGTTTGTTTTCCTTTGTGCCTGGTTACATCTGCAGGCGTGGGAGAATTCTCATCATTCTAGGTAGTGAGAAACTAATTCTCCAATCTGGTACGTGTGATAGAGAAAAGGAGCTGGAGACGCATTGAAATGCTTCGGCTCAGAGCAGACTGGCTCCTTGGGAGTCTCTTGAGAAGTGGGAGGAACATTTTCTGGAATGGGTTCCTGGACACTAGGAATGTCGATGTTGTCAGGGATGAAAAGTTAAGTGTTTTGAGAAACACAACAGAGACTGACTTAGTAGTTTTAAATTTATGAAGGTCAGCCCAGGGTTATTATCTAATCCAACTACCTCTCAGTTATTGTTCTACCTTTTCCCGTGTTTCTTCTCCCTCTGTCTCCAGCGAGGTTGCTCCTGCATCATGCCTGTTGGTCTGGTGGTCTAGTACGCTGAGGGGCCTCACCTTGTCAGGTCCAAGGCCACAGGCTCAGCTCACAGGACTTGTTTTTTTTTTTTGGTACCGGGAATGGAACTCATGACCTTGAGCTTGCCAGGCAGGCGCTGTGCCGCTGAGCTAAATCCCCAGCCCCTAGGTTGCAGGACTTTGTAGGGGTTTTAGTGGCTGTGCTCCAGGAGTCTCACCTGTGCCCTCAGTTGCTATTTCTTAATGACACTAAGAAAATAGGGAAGGGAGGAGAGGAGAAAATAAGGCAGAGTGCTCGGAGATGCCGGGATTAAACCCGCTGCATGCTAGGCGACATCCCCAGCTCCAGTTACATTCTTTGAGAGGTGGGTCTGACAATGTAGTGCAGGCTGACTTTGCGCTTACTGTGTGTCCGAGGCTGCCTTGGGAATCAGTGATCCTCTTGCCTCAGCCTCCCAAGTGCTGGGATTTCACACGTACACCACTACATCCGGCGTTCAAATTACTGTATATTCTTAACTATTCACCAGGTACAGGAGCAGAATAAGAAAAAGAAAAAGCAGTCAAAACCCCAATGCATTTATCTGGTTGGCGGGTCATTCCTTCTCCCATCTTAGAGTAAGAGAATCAAGCCAGTTCTTTTTCTTTCCTCACGTGCTTACTTACCAGCTACTGATTGTTATGTTTTTTAAATATCTATCTCATTTTTTTTACTCCTTTGCTTTGGAAACAAACATATAAAGGATAAGTTGCTTTCCCCCAACCTTTACTTCTGAGAGTGTATTTTAGAGGTAGGAGTCAGGCATTTAAATACTGAGGGTTGAACCCAGGGGCACCATTGAGCTGGATCTCCACCCCTCTTTCGTTTTCATTTCCAGAGTCTTGCTAAGTTGCCAGGCCGGCTTTAAACCGAACCTCTTGCTTTAACCTCCCAAGTAGCGGGGATTCTGGCTGCATGCCCTTTGGCCTGCTCGTTTTGTTGAGTTCTAAGCGTCATGAGATGTTCTGCGTATTTAAACTCACTGCAAGATGACAGTGTGGAGGTAAGGAGTCCTCCTCTCAGGAACGTGTGCAAATGCACATACACTTCAGGTTTTTGATAGGATCCCTTAGGTTTATGCTATGACCCTTGTGTTTATACCCTTTATCACCATCCAAGGATTGTAGGAATCCAAAGCCCTGATGATAGAGGTTTGTTGGGAAGGATGACAACCAAGCATCAAAGCAAAAAGGCAGTTTTCTGTCTTTGAAAATAAAAAATGACACCTCGAGAAGTTTTCCCATATCGAGTTCTCCTTCCTTGTGGCATGTGTCCAAAGGCGTGGGGAATAGGATGGTCTTCTTGCAATTGTAAAAGAAACCCATCATGTGCTGCCAGGATGGAAATGCGATCTTTGTGTAGCTGCGGTGGTGGTAGCTGTCTCCAAGCTGGCCCCAGTGAGCCCTCCTCAGGAGTTTTCATTCCCGTATAATCCGCTCCCACATTTAATCTGAGTGTTACCTCCTCCCAGTAGAACGTGGCAGAAGTGAGGCTGTGCCAGTTCCTGGACCAACTTGTGGGACGGTGTGGTGGATTTTGTCTTGTACTTCTGGGAGTCCTGAGAGACTAAAATGTCCACTTAGCAGTTACTAAAGATGTGCGGCTACAGGAAGATGGACAGGAGGGCCCGGCACACCCCCTGCCTCCCCTGCAGCTCACCCTGCCTGCCACCATCTGATCCGAGCCCAAGAAATTCGCTAGGGGTGTAGCGCAGGGGGAAGTGCTGGCCTAGGATGCTCAAAGCCCCAGGTTCAATCTCCAGCGGCACCAAAATAAAAACACTCAGAGATGCCCAGAGCATCCACAGGCAGAGGAACCTTTCTTTAAAGAGTGTGTGTGTGTGGGGGGGCAGTGGGAAGGTTATTACATGCCACTAAATTTGATGGTACTTTAATATGTAGCAACAGATTACTGCCAGGGTTGTTATCCTTAAAGCCTTTCTCATTTTTAGCATACGAATGGGGGGCGGGGTTGGCAAAACCAGGGAAAAAGCCATCACAGACATCACTGCTGTGAAGGACAGAAAGTACATCTTGGATCCAGGTTGCAAGACTCAGTGATGTCTCAAAATAGATGAGATGAGACCATTGTTTTTGCAAGTAGACTCAGAAAGGACCCGGGTACCTAGTAGGTGGTGAGGAGCTCACCCAGGGCCTATCCGTGCTAATTGTGCTGTGCGTACTGACTGTGCATACACCCCCAGCTTCCAGCTAGCTATGAAAAAAATGCATGGAGTTTGCCTCAGATTCTTAGCGTTTTACTTGAGAAACAAATACTTAAAAAGAATACTCTGCTCCTCCTCCGCCTCTACTTCTGAACTACTGTGGAAGTGTGCCAGGAAGGAGGAACATCCAGCCAGGCCTGCATAGAATCCACACGCTTCTGAGAGCAGCAGGGAAGGGGGCAGTCTTCCCCCAGGAGACACCGACAGGTTTCTGTTAAAGCTTCCACGTGGGTCCGATAAACTGGAGATGCATGTGTACCTTTCACAAGTAGCTAGGAGATGCTGGTGCAGCGAATATTTCACTGACCGTCCTTATCTCAGAAGATTCCTGTATCTTAGGTCAACCATGAGCGACCATCTCCACCGCTGGGTCTCCCCACCGTGAGATCAGATTGCTGCCCCTGTAGTCTGACTCACTGCAGGAGACACCAGCGCGTTCTGGAAGACATCGCCACAGCCCGACATTCTCGTAGGTCTCCTTTCATTTTGTTCTTAATACGCAGACTTGGGCCTGCCACACGCAGCTCACCCTTCCCTTGCCGCCCAAATCGATTCTTCCTGCTTTACAAGGTGCTTCCTTCTGGGTCCATAATATTCACCGGAGGAAAAATGGTGTTGCTGTCCTTCCCAGACCCCACCTGGAGTAGGATGAGGGCTGCTCATTCGGGGTAAGTTCCTTCCTACTGGAGGAGCCTATGACCAGTTGAATACTGTGTTTCATAGGTCTTCTGGCCCAGGGTCCAGCTGCATCTCCTCCTTAATTTCTCACTATAAACCTCTTACCCTCTCTGTCTCTCCCTCCTTACCTCCCTCTCTCCCTTTCCTTTTTCTCTTCCTCTTCCCCTCCCTCCCTCCCTTCCTTCTTTCCTTCCTTCCTTCCTTCCTTCCTTCCTTCCTTCCTTCCTTCCTTCCTTCCTTCCTTCCTTCCTTCCTTCTTTCTATGGTACTGGGGATTGAATTTAGGGCCTAGCACTAAATTATATCCCTGCCCTTTAAAATTCTGAGATAGGATTTCCCTAAGGCTGGCCTGGAGCTTGTGACCCTCTTGCCTCAGGATAAATGTAATTATTATGTACTACAAACATGTACTAATAAAAAAAAGCCAGACATGGTGATACACACCTGTGATCCCGGCACTTGAGAGGCTGAGGCAGGAGGATCTCCATGAGTTTGAG